AAAAAAAAAAAAAAACTCCCCACATTTCAAAATGGATCGATTATAAAGAATTTTTTTTATCACACGTCATTATTATTAATAAATTTTAGATGCGAAGCATCGCATGAATATCTTTATTTGATGTCATAAAAGCATAAGCATGTGAATATATATATATATATGTGTGTGTGTGTATGTATGTATATATAACATATTCATAAAATTATATAAATACGAATTCATAATTTCCATTCGGTATAATGTGCTGCTTGTTTTTGTATTCAAGTAATTTTAGTTTGTTTAAAATAAATTAAAAGTGTCTCGGTGTATGGGTGAGCTCATCCATACCATTACATTACATGCATTATCAGTATGCAAAGATATTAAAAACCACGTGAGATAGATAGAGAAAAGATAGAGAAAGAGAAAAGATAGATAAAGAGGGTGAGCGAGAGAGCGAGAGAGTGTGAGAGTAAGAATGAAATGGGAAGAGAGTATAGTTGTTTGTATATTATATTAAACCGAAATAATAATAATTGTGTAGAGGAGAAGAAAAAAAAAAAAAAAAAAGGTCAAAACTCGTTTACACTCATTTCTTCTTCTTTTCTCTGCTGCATAAACACAGTAAAGAGCACTTACTTCGCATAGCAGCATGTATTCGATAGTCGCACACACAAATTATCAACTTCTCAAAAGCAGATACAGAACAGAGAACAATACAACAGCATACGCTAAACGCACGTACATATATATATATATATATATATATATATATACATATATACGTACATATATATATATATATATATAAGTTTGCATATATATATTATAATGAGGAAGAGATGGCCTCGGAAAAGTTTTAAATTTTTTTTTTTATCACAATTCGAAGACACCGAACGCTGGCAAAAAAAAAAATATATATATATATATATATGTGCATATGCCTGTGTATACTTAAATATTCAACAGTAACGAACAACAACAACGACAACAGCAGCAGCAGCAGCATTAAGACAACATTCATCTTTTTTTTTTTTTTGTTTTTTTCTCCTTTTTTTTCGTGTATAAATGCTGCATACACATCCATGCGTACATGCATGTATATTTTTGATGCAAACATAAAATATTTATACTACTTCATGTCATATATGGAACTGATGAGAAAGGTACATATAACATATGTGTATGAATGTATGTTTGCAGGTACCCATATGAGTTTGAATCTCGAATGCTTATGCTTACTTAAATATATATATCTATATATACCTATCTGCACGTATATGTATATATATATATATATATGTATGCATAAATGAAAGTATGGTTGACGATGTGACTTGAAATCAATAAGAACAAGAACGCAAACATGTGAACTGAAATTATGATGATGAATCACTTTTTTTCTAAATGTTGACTGACAGTCAAGTCACAATGCACATTCGTTCCCTTGACTCTTGTTCTTCTTTTTCTATGTTTTTTTTTTTTTTTTTTTACCAAAGAGTTGAGGCTAGCTATACACTTATGCACACTTATACACTGATGATAATATACACGGTATAATACTACACGGTATACGTATATGTAAGCATGAATGTAGCTTCGTTTGTTCGTATACGTATGTACATGTTCTTAAAATTTAACGGATTTTATTGGATGCGAACGTATTTAATCACCCAGAGTTGTAATATCAAGAATGAAAATAATATCATCCCAAATTTTAATCATCATCAAACACTTTATTATTTTCAAAGTCTTTTAATTAACTCGTCTATCAATCCTCTATCCCTTAATTCATTCGAAAACTTGTGTGCATCAATGCCGGAATATGTTTTTTAGTGTACATGCGTAACATTATGTAGTGGACAATGAACATAAAATTTTGATTAGCGGTGTACGGATATGGAATGAAATAGATAAGCACACATTAAAATAAGAAAACTGCACACACGTACACACGCGTTCAAACACATTCATTCACATGCAAATTTCTTATATTAGCCATTGGAGTAAGTTTTTGATGTTTATTGTATATTTCGATATTAATTAATACAATTTTGAAGGTTACGCAAGACTTACAAATCGCGACATATCTACAAAACAACATACGTTCTAGATGAACCTAAAATTCCGAGTTAAGTTAGCTTAGCTTTTGGTAGACACACTTTTCCTTAGTCAGAAAAAAATGCAAAGAATTGTGGTAAACATTTCTCGTATCATTTGACATAGGCGAAGAAAATGAAGTGAGTCAGGTATTTGGAAAATATTTTAGTACGCGAAAAGTGGAATGCCTTAATCAATATCTTGTATCGATTCGAGATAGTTTGATAAAACAAAGTTCAGAAATTGATATAAAATTAGAAGAA